CAGAAGATGGTGAACAGCTAGGGTCCTAGTAGGAGACCTAGAAGATGCTCCTTCTGGCTTCAGACTGGTCCAGCCATGGCTGTCAGAGCCATTTGAAGAGTGAACCAGCAGATAGAAGACGGATATTTTTCCCCACCCTTCTTCTCCATGTTTCACACTCTACCTTTCAAATAAATAATCGTATGGGGAAAAACAAATTGTAAGCTTCCTCCCTAAGAATAAGACCCATTTTCACTACGGCTACTCAACATTATGCTGATAATTCAAGTCAAATCAAATAGAAAACAAATAAAATGAACTCACATTCTAAATAAATAAAACTTTCTCTATGGATAGACGACTCTATCTTATGCATAAGAAATTCCAAGGTATTCTCAAGAGGCTACTAGAGTGAATAAAGCACTTCAACAAAGTCATAAGGTGTAAGAGCAACAAAATAAAGCAGTCACATTTCCATATTTCATCAATAAACAAACCAAAAATGAAACTAAAAAATTCCAAGATTGGCATTACAAATCACCACATGTAATACTGGCATCCCATATCAGAGCAACTGTTCAACTCCCAGCCACTCTGCTTCTCTTCCAGCTCCCTCCTAATGGTCCTGGAAAAGCAGCGGAGGGTGGTAAAACTGTTTAGACCTCTGAACCCATGTGTACACTAGCTTGTGTCCCCACTGCTACACTTCCTTTCCAGCTCCCTGCTTATGCCCTGGGAGAACAGTGGAGGATGGCTCAAAGCCTTGGAACCCTGCACCCACGTGGGACACCCAGAAGAAGATCCTGGTTCCTGGCTTCAGATTATGCCCAGTTCTGGCAGTTGTGGCCACATAGGGAATAAAACAGTGGGTAGAAGATTTTTCTCTGTCTCTCTGTAAATCTGCCTTTCCAATAAAAAATAAATACGTCTTTAAAAAAAGACTGTAAAAAATTAAAAGCCTAAATAAGTAAAATACATCCTGTACTTACAAACAGGAAGAAGACTTAACACTGTTATAGTCCAACACTACCATGGTGAAATTCAATGAAATCTATCAAAATACCTTGGGCCCACTTTACACAAACAGAAAAGCCAATCTGCAAATTCATATGGATAAACACTGCATGATCTAATATATTTGAGGAATCCAAAGCAGCAAAATTAAGCAGCAGAAAGTTGAGCTACAATTTCCAGGTACTGATGCAAAAAAAAAAAAAAAAAAAAAAAGCAGAGGCAACAGTTAAATCAAAATAGTTTCACTGTGCAAGATAAATGGATTGTAGAGAATTGCTATAATACAGAATATGTATAGCTGACAAAACTGTGTTGTACAATTAAAATGTAAAAGTAGGGTATACTATAGGAATCAAGATGGCAGATTAGGGTAAGGACACGTTTAAACAGATGAAGAAATATTCGACAATGTAAAGCAGAGAGGGTACATTCCAGGAAATAGGAGAGCACAAAACAACAGCAGAGGGGCACCTGGAGACTGACAGATGGGGGAAAGAGTGGACACAACAGTGCAGTGTTGCATGACCCATAAACCAGCAGCATCCAGCCAAGGAGAGCTGAATTGCACCAGCAACAAGAACATAAACAAGATGGGAAGGGTTGTTCACCAGGAGCTCAGGAGGTGAACCCAGACAAAGAATTTCTCATTCTGCTAGTCTGTTTGATTTGACCAGAAGCAGAGACAGAGCCACAGGTCTTAGACTGGTGGTTCAGGAACAGGGTAGATTTCTCAGCCCAGTCTGCCCCCTAGAGCTGAATTGAGCACCATTTTGTGTATGAAGACAAAGGTTAAGAGACAGTACTAGGCATGCACTAATTTGGGAGTGAATTCATTTCTAACTCAGTGAACTGCAAAAATGTGGCATCCTACAGGTTCTACCCAAAATAGATCTGGGTAGCCCTAAGACCTGATGGCAAGCAGATCAGGAACTCAAGTAGTGCCACATCAGGCGCCATTTTGTACAGTGTGACAAAGGTTTAAGACTGAAGTGAGCTGTGCATGCATTGAGCTGGAAGCTAACTCACTGAGCTCAGTGTATTGCACTAGTCCCACAGGAAAATAATACTGTCTCAGGTATCATACAGATCAAAATAGGTTCGTGTGGCCCTCAGACCTAACGGCCCACAGGTTTCAGCAAGATGAGCACCAACAACAACCTGGCTATGTAGGACTCCTAGTGTCTCCCTAATCCTGGGATTTGCTCAAGCCAAAAGTGGGAGAAAGGTTGTACAGACAATGGTGCAGCTGCAGCACAGTACTAAAGGAGGTGGAGAGTGGTGAGCCTGGAGCTGTGGCTATGGAGACCACGGTGGAAGTGTAATGTAAGAACCCAGACTTGGGCCCGGCACGGTGGCGCCTTGCACGCCCGGGATCCCATATGGGCGCAGGTTCTAATCCCGGCAGCCCCGCTTCCCTTCCAGCTCCCTGCCTGTGGCCCGGGAAAGCAGTCGAGGACGGCCCAAAGCTTTGGGACCCTGCACCCGTGTGTGAGACCAGGAAGAGGCTCCTGGCTTCGGACCTGCATAGTATCGGCCCGTTGCGCTCACTTGGGGAGTGAATCATCGGACGGAAGATCTTCCTCTCTCTCTCTCCTCTCTGTATATCCGCCTTTCCAATAAAAAAATAATAAAAATACATCTTTAAAAAAAAAAAAAAAGAACCCAGACCTGGGGCCCTGCGCAGTGGCCTAGGGGATAAAGTCCTTGCCTTGCACAAGTCAGGATCCCATATGGACATCAGTTCTAATCCTGGTAGCTCCATTTCCATCCAACTCCCTGTTTGTGGCCTGGGAAAGCAGCAGAAGACAGCCCAAAGCCTTGGGACCCTGCACCCATGTAGAAAACCTGGAGGAAGTTCCTGGCTCCTGGCTTCGGATCAGCGCAGCACTGGACATTGTGGTCACTTAAGGAGTGAATCAATGGACGGAAGATCTTCCTCTCTGTCTCTCCTCCCCTCTGTATATCTGACTTTGCAATAAAAAGAAAATCTTTTTAAAATGTATTTAATGAAGTAATAAGGGAAAATTTTTCTAATCTAGAGAAAAATTGGGAAACAACATCCAAGAGGGGTATAGAATTCCCAACAGGGTTGACCAAAAGTAAGCCTCACTAAGACACATGATAATCAAGCTCTCTTCAAATGAACATAAGGAAAAGATCCTTAAATGTGCACGTGAAAAAAAGCAACTGACATATAAAGGAATGGCAATCAGACTCATAAGAAACCTCTCACAGGAAACTCTACAGGCCAGAAGAGAATGGAGTGACATAATCCAGATTCTAAAAGAAAGAAATTGTCACATCAGAATAACGTACCCAGCAAAGCTTTCCTTTGTCTTTGAAAATGAAATAAGATTTTTCCACAATAAAGAAAAGTGAAAAGAACATGCCTCTTCCAAACCTGCCCTACATATGATACTTCCAGATGTTCTCTTGACAGAGAAGAGGAATAGCACCCAGCAAAACCAAAGGCCAATGTTAAGACCATTCCAGTAAAATAACAACAGAAGACTAAATCAATGAACAACCCATTGCTAAAATGACAGGGCCAAATCACCACCCATTCATATTAACCCTGAATGTAAACACCTTAAACCCATCAATCAAACCTCATAGCTTAGTGGATTGGATTAAAAAACATCCATTTGTTGCCGACAGGAGACATATCTCAACAACAAAGATCAGTTGAAAGTATTATCTCATGGATTTTGATTTTTTTTTTGTTAGTTTCATCTCTTCAACACACTTTCTTCTGATTAAATTCTTCACTGTCTCATAGATCATACAGTAGCAACATTTTCTTCAAGAAGGTTCTTGATTTTCTTTTTCATTTCTTCAAAGATACACTAGTCACTCAGTAGCATGTTATTTAACTTCCTGGTGTTAATTTCTTTTTTTTCTTCCTGTTGTTGATTTTGTTTTGTGGCTTTTCATTTAAGGGGATGTATAGTAACTATGTAATGGAGACTATCATATTCAGATGTGAGGATACAATGCAGTATACATCTCTATTTCCAGACAAAGATGGACTTACAATGAAAGTGGTTACTATATCTTAACAATAGGATGCTGGACTCTCTGCCATTGTCCATGCCCGCAGTGATGGACATATGACTGTGAATGGGGAACTATACTGTAGTAATAATATAGGGGAACTCAGTGGCTGAGGACAGGAGAGTAAGGGGAGGGGGGAGAAATCCCAGGGCCTAGGAAATTGTATCACAAAATGATGATAAATATTTTTTTAAAGAATTACTATGTCTACTTAAAATAAGAAAAATCTATGGAACTCCAATGATGTTTAAGGATACTCAGAGGAAAATCACCATGTCTTTATTTTTTGCAGTGAACCACACAGAAGAAACCTTAACCTCAAGGACATTTTGTTCAATGAAGTTAGGCAGGCATAGAAAGACAAGTACTGCATGATCTCACTTATCTGACAGAGCTCAAAAGGCCCAACTCACCAAAGAAGCAGAGAGCAGATTGGTGTTTACCAAAAGCTACAAAGACCACAAATTTTCAGTTAGCAGTAAATTCAGGAAAGCTATTAACATTTTGGTGCCTACACTTAATAACACAGGGTACATTTGAAGTGTTTTCCCCACAAAGTTATAGTGCGAGAACATGTTTTCCATCTGAGGCAGAGCGACAGAAAACAAATATGTTTAAGCTTCTGTTTTACCATTCCGCACAGTATATTTCAATAAGAACATCATCCAAAGGTACATGGCCACTTGGGGGGGGAGCAAAATACTTAAAAGGGAAGTAAATTTTTATATGTATGACTGACTTTTTTCAAAAAGGGGGAAAAAAAATCCCGCCCGCGGAAAGCCTGTTCCGCCCACACTCACCCTGCAGGTACTTGCCGTCAGCAATTCGGGGAGCGCGCCTGAAGCGAGGGGCGGACCCAGGACGCCGAGGGGCGGGAATGGCGGGAATGCCCGCCCCCGGGCCGTCACGCAGACGCCAGCGCCGTGCGTCCGTACGCGCTACGTCAGCGCCGCTTCTGCGAGGCCGCCATCAGGTCCCTGGGCTGCCGTTCGGGTCCCGCGGAAGCGTTTCGGCCGTGTAGGATTCTCGGAATAGGAGCCCAGCTGGCGCTGGGGCCGGCGCCATGCCACTGCGGGTGGCAGTGGTGTGCTCGAGTAACCAGAACCGGAGCATGGAGGCGCACAACATCCTCAGCAAACGGGGCTTCAACGTCCGGTCCTTTGGAACGGGAACTCACGTGAAGCTTCCAGGACCCGCACCCGACAAGCCAAACGTTTACGATTTCAAAACCACTTACGATCAGATGTACAACGATCTTCTGCGGAAAGACAAAGAACTCTATACACAGAATGGCATTTTACATATGTTGGACAGAAACAGGAGAATCAAGCCCCGGCCAGAAAGGTTCCAGAGCTGCAAAGATCTATTCGATCTGATCCTCACCTGCGAAGAGAGGGTCTACGACCAGGTGGTGGAAGATCTCAACTCGAGAGAACAGGAGACCTGCCAGCCGGTGCACGTGGTCAACGTGGACATCCAGGACAACCCCGAGGAGGCCACCCTGGGAGCGTTCCTCATCTGTGAGCTCTGCCAGTGCATTCAGCACACCGAGGACATGGAGAACGAGATCGAGGAGCTGCTGCAGGAGTTCGAGGAGAAGAGCGGCAGGGCCTTCCTGCACACCGTGTGCTTCTATTGAGACGCCCACCTGCCACCTGCCCTCTGAAGCCGTCTTCCCAGCTCTCCTTTGTTAATACGTTTTTCTTTCCTGGTACTTGGTGGTTCCTTTTAGGTATTCTGGTGGTGGACTGGGAGTATTTTCCATAGCAGTTTTAAATAGGTAATAGAAACCTAGAGATAAATGCCAGATAGAAAGCATTTTAGCCTTTCTGTCCCCCCTGTTGCTTCTGAGTGGGATACAGATGGGGATTTAACTGAAAAGCAAAACAGTTCATCGTGTGTTTTCCCCCCAACATGTGTATCTTTAGTTATTCCCAGCTTTCCTTTTCCTTCTCTAAATGGCTGGACTGTACACATCCCTGAATAAAGCAATGTGCTGTGTCTTACTAGAAAACTACCTGGAATTGTCAGTACTACTGAAACAGATGCTACTGTTTCAAAAAAAAAAAAAAAAAACTTTTAACCAGGGATACAACTATAATTCAGTAATATGCTAAACTATTCTCTAGCCAGTAACTTTGATTTATCCATTCCACAACAGATATTTTAAAATATTGAATCCATAAATATATACATGTTTTGTCCGTTAAAAATAAAAAGCACATAGTTTATGTTGCTTAACTTCTGTTTGTTCTTCCAGATGAGTTTTTAATCTTCTACACCCTGCTCTGTGTCCCTGAGATGGTTTTGTAACATGTCAACCCCATTAGGCTTATCTACAATCTACAGAATTTCTACGCTGAGCTACAAAATGGAGTCTGTGGTGAGAATTGAAAAGAAGGGGAACTAGCTATGTTCTAGCTCTCTTATAACATACATACACCTCGTTGTTCAGTCAAATGTCAATCCAACTGCTGTTGTAAGTCCAATCAGTTTCTGTTGAGTAAATCATAAGAAACATTCTTTTGGGCAGACACTGGAGCTGTGCATGTTAAGCTACCACTTAGGATGCCAGCATCCCATGTCAGTGCACCAGTTAATTTGTGGCTATTCCGCTTCTGGTTCATACCAATGCACCTGGGAGGTAAAAGATGCTGGTCCAAATACTTGGGTCCCTGGTGCAGATGTGGGAAGCCAGGATGGAGTGCCTGGCTTCTGGCTTTGGCTTTGCCACCCTAGACTGCAGGCATTTGGGGAGTGAACCAGTGGATGGAAGATCTCTCTTCTAGATCTCCCTCTGTGTGTGTAAGTCTCTCTCTGTCACTGTCTCTTTCAAATCTTTCTGTTAAAGAAACAAAGTTATCTTAGGTGAGCATGGCTTTATCAGATAGAAGGCTTCTTAATAAGTCTGAACTCTTCATGAAAGAGCCAAAATTCCAAACAGCAAAAGCAAAAAAAAAAAAACTAGGTATGTTTACATTTGGAGAGTTTCATGTTGCGCATTAGCTGACTTGTGACTGGCGTGAAGCAATGATCCCGGGATGGCTCTTCTCTTTCCCTGTCCCTTCCTTCGGTTCCTTCAGGTCAGGTTTGAGCTGTGAGTTGTTCTGCTTTTTTTTCTGACCACCTCTTACCTCTTGCCCTGTAGACTTTAGCCTGTATTCTTTTAGCACTTCTTTTTAGTGACTTAAAACAGTGGCAAAGAGAAAGAAAAGAGATCTACTCTCCATTGGTTCGCACACGGCAAGGGCTGAGCCAGGGCAAAGCGAGGAGCCTAGGCCTCCATTCAGATCTCTAAATACTTGATCCATCATATGCTATCTCCCAGGATGCATCAGCAGGAAGCTGTGTTCAAACAGAATAGCTGACACTTGAACAGGCACCCCCAACTTGGGATGTGAGCACTGCCACATCACTTAATGACTTTGGATTTTAGAAGCTATTGCCCACAATTCATGGGGTAAGAAATTTCCTTGGTTTTTTTATGTATGTGTGTGTGTGTGTGTGTGTGTGTGTGTGTGTGTGTGTGTGATGTAATCATCTATAGGCTCTGCTTCTATGCTTGAGCTCGGAGTGAATACTTTCCTTGAGATGCTACTTATTTTTCCTCTTTTTTTTTTTTAAGATTTATTTTTATTACAAAGTCAGATATACAGAGAAAAGGAGAGACAGAAAGATCTTCGATCCACCAGTTTATTCCCCAAGTAGCCACAGCGGCTAGAGCTGAGCTGATCCGAAGCCAGGAGTCAGGAGCCTCTCCCAGGTCTCCCAACATGGATGCAGGGTCCCAAGGCTTTGGGCCATCCTCTCCTGCTTTCCCAGGCCACAGGTAGGGAGCTGGATGGGAAGTGGAGTAGCCAGGATACGAACCAGCGCCCACATGGGATCCCAACAAACACGATTTAGCCAGTAAGCTATTGTGCTAGGCCCGAATTTCAGCTTTGTTTTAATGTTTTCATTTATCTGAAAAGCAGAACAGGAAAGAGAAATCTTTCATCTGCTGGGACCCAGGCATTTGAACCATCATCTGCCTCTGGGGATGCACAGTAGCAGGAAGCTAGATAAGTGGAGGCTGGGGCCCCGGTGCGATAGCCTAGGGCTAAAATCCTTGCCCTGTAGGCACCGTGATCCCATATTGGGATCCCCTATGGGCACAGGTTCTAAATGAATATATCTCTCATTTTACTTGTGATGAGAAATTGCAAAATAAGGATGAACTAATACTTTCTCCCCAATTTATGGAAAACATTTTTTAAGTTACTAAAATCTTTGTTTCATGAGAAAATGTGAAAGTAAACATTACCACATACTGTTCATGAGCACATAAATTAATGAAGCCTTTGTGATGAAAATTATAACAGTATTTATAAAAATAGTTATACCCTTTAACCATGCAATTATTTTGATTTATGGAGAACTTTCACAAGTAAACAAGACGTGTACAATTTAGTCCATAATATCATTACTAATAAAGATTTATTCATTTTTATTGTACAGGCAGATTTTACAGAGAGGGAGAGACAGAAAGCTCTTCCATCTGCTGGTTTACTTTCCAAGCGGCCACAATGGCCAAACCTGAGCCCAACCAAAGCTGGGAGCTTATTCTGGTCTCCCACGTGCATGCAGGGTCCCAAGGCCTTGTGCCATCCTCGACTGCTTTCCTAGGACACAGGCAGGGAGCTCAAAAGTAAATGGAGCAGCCAGGACATGAACCAGTGCCCACATGGGATTCCGCCACTTGAAAGGCCAGGATTTTATCAACTGAGCTAATGTATCATGCCCCAACTTATATGCATTTCAAAAGATATTTAACGTTTGGATAAATGTTAATAGATCCGTACATTGAAATGGAATTCAAAGGGAATCCCTCATTCTGGATTTCTGTACAATACTGGTGCATGTCTAAATATTACTCTGTTTGCGTATCTTCTAAAGACACAAATAGGGACTGCCACAGTGGCTCAGTAGTTAATCCTCTGCCTGCGAGTGCTAGCATCCCATAGGGGCACTGGTTTACGTCCCAGCTGCTTCAGTTCTGATCCAGCCCCCTGTTGATGCTCTGGGAAAGCAGCAGAGGATGGCTTAAGTTCCCAGGACCCATATGGGAGACTTGGAAGAATCTCTTGGCTGCTGGCTTCAGATTAGCTCAACTCTGGCCATTTCTGCCATTTGGGGAGTAAAGCAGTGAAGTTCTCTCTGTAGATCTGTCTTTCAAATAAAAATAAATCTGTTTTCAAAAACACACAAAAAGGGGGTGGAATTGAGACACAGTATATGCAACTACCATTCTGGGAGCACCTGGTTCCAGTGCCAGCTACTGCGCTTCTGATCCAGCTTCCTGCATGAGAGACAGCAGATGATGGACCAAGTACTTGTGTTCCTGTCATCTGTGTGGGAGAGCTGGGTGGAGTTTCTGCTTCCCAGCCCCGGCTATTACGAGCTTTTGGAGAAAGAACTGAAAGGTAAGATTCCTTTCTCTCTCTTCCCCTCTTTCCATGTCACTCTGCCATTCAAATAAATCAATCAAAACTTTAAAAATTAGCTACATGTGAATACAATTTTTACAAAAATTCTCCAGATGAATAGGAAAGATAATTATTCATTAGCTGTTCCTTTGGAACAACTGGTTATAACAAGGGTGGATACAATATCAGTAAAACTTGGAAAGGTGACAGCTAAAAGATGTTACAGACTCAACAGAATACTACTCCAGCACATGAAACACTGTCCTCTGATGCTCAGGAATTTCTGGTTCCTGGTACCTCTGGAAGTTAGGGGTGATGCTGATGTTTAAAACACAAATAGGCAGGACCCAGTTTAGTGACACAATTGATTTGCTAACCCTCCAAGTGCCAGGATCCCATATGGGCACTGGTTCATGTCCCTGCTGCTGCACTTCCCATCCAGCTCCCTGTTTGTGGCTGGGAAAGCAGTCGAGGATGGCCCAAAGCCTGCACCCACGTGGGAGACCCAGAATAAGCTCCTGGCTCTTGGTTTTGGGTAGGCTCAGCTCCAGCCATTGCAGCCATTTAGGGAGTGAGCCAGCAGACTGAAGATCTTTGTCTCTCCTCACCATAAAGTTTGCCTTTCCAATAAATTAATAAGGCTTTAAAAAAAATTAGGCAAAAATATACCCAAGATTAGGAATAAAACCACCAGGTTTCCTGCCAGGCAGTTTCTCTCACATGAAAGCAAGCTCCTGGAGTGAATATCCAACATAAGAAAACGGAATCTCTACATGGGGGTAAGGGAGCTCGTAGGATACCGGACGGCAGAAGAGCATTAGTGAACAAAGAGAGGTTGAAAAGAAAGGCGTGTACCAAATAAATATTGAGGCCATCTTCACGAATCTCATTCCCCACTCTTTTCAGGGTGCTTAATAATATTTAGGGACAACTGCAGTAAGCAGTGGTGCAACAGATCAACTTGTGGCTTGAAGGTGTCAACGTCAACAGTGCCAGTTGGAGTCTCAACTCCTCCACTTCCTAGCTAGCCTCCTCGTGATACATCCTGGGAGGCAACAGGTGATGGCCCAAGTACTCTTGTGGGAAATCTGGGTGGGGTTCCTTGCTTCTGGTTTAATCCTGGGCCAGCGCTGGCTATAGTGAAAGGAAGATCATTCAATCCATTGATCTAGTCTCTCTTGATTTCAAACAGATTAGAAATAAACATTTTAGGGCCCAGAGCATTAGCCTAGCAGCTAAAGTCCTAGCCTTGCACGAGTCTGGATCCCATGTGGGCATGAGTTCTAATCCCAGTGGCCCTGCTTCCCATCCAGCTCCCTGCTTATAGCCTGGGACCATTGTGGCCACTTAGGCAGTGATTGAGCGAACAGAAGATCTTCTCTGTCTCTCCTATCTATAGGCCTCACTTTCCAATAAAAATAAATAATAACTCTTAAAAAAATCTTGGAGCTCCTCCAGGTAGGATGGGCTGTCCCAGTGGCTTGCTCCTGCCAGCCACACTCACACTCCCATAAAAAAAAAATAAACATTTAAGAATAATTTGGAAAAT